AGAAGGAAAAAATTTAGGCAAACAGTCTGGTAAAACCACAAAAAACTGCTTTTACCCAAATCAGAAACCCAGCTCAAGCACTATGGCCAGAATTAGAAGTACTGTAAGACTTCTGCTGCCATCTAGAGGTTACACATGAGATGACATCTTTCCTTCATCAAGGACTACTCATTTGTTAGAGACAGAGGTTATTATAAAAGCCTGACGAAGAACCTTGATAGCAGGCCACAAAGCACACCTACAGTTAGTCTCTCCTCCAGTCACAGACTAAACTTAGAACTCTACGGAGCTAACTGTCCTTTAGATTTATTTAGAGCTAGATGTGGTGGTCCATGCCTGTAAATCCCAACACTTGGGAAGTGGAAGTAGGAAGATTGCTATAAGTGCAAAGCCAGCCTGGGCTACATAGGAACATCCTGTCCCACAAGCAAAAAATGTAGATGGAGAATAATTTCTCAATATAATTAGCTACTTTTCAAAAGCACATGCCTAGAGGGTCCTAACAGAAGCGTTTGGAAGCATTGGTTTTTCTTTGGTACAACCACTAAAACTTATACCATATATTGGTACAGACTTGAACACTGTAATTAATTGAGTGCAGTATCAAGTTTAAAAGAGGTCTGGAGAGAGAGAGAGCTCAGTAGTAAAGAACTCATACAGTTCTTGTGTAGGATCTGAGTTTGGTTTCCAGTACCAAAGCAAGCGGTTCACAATGGCCTCCTTGGGCACTCACAAGCATGTATGCACATACATATGCAATTAAAAATTAAATAAACTTGCCTCACAGTGGGGGCTCACGCCTTTCATAACACATGAGAGGCAGAGGCAGGTGCAGTTCTATGAGTTCAAGGCCAGCCTGGTCTATAGAGTGAGTTCCAGGACAGCCGGGGCTGTTTATACAGAGGAACCCTGTCTTAACTTTAAAACAAACAAACAAACAAACAAAACAAAACAAAACAAAAAAAGAAATCTTTTGCAAAGCTTAAATAGGGAAGTCTCAAATGTCTTTTACACAAAAATGTTTTTAAAAGTTCTAAAAATCTAGGTAAATAACTCCAACTTCTAAACAAACACACACGATTAGATGAAAAAGAACAGAAGTAGCTATCAAAGTAAGGTAAATTCTTGAAAATTTTCTTAAGAAGTAATACATTCAATGTAGTGAAATTTAACTAAGGTAAGAAAGTGAAATCAAAAAATATGAAAGCATGTTAAGCATCAATCATCATTGGGCAAATGCAAATTCAAACCACAGTGAACCTTGCACCCCTAGGATGGATGTAACATTTTTTTAAAGGACAATAATGAGTATTAGCAAAAATTTCTCTACTGCTGGTAGAGGTATACAATGGTTCAGCCAGCTTGGAAAACAGCCTGTCAATTTCTCAAAAAGTCACATACAAGCAAAGAACACACCTTTAATCTCAGCACTTGGGAGGCAGAGGCAGGCAGATTTCTGTGGAATCAAATGCAGCCTGGTCTACAGAGTGAGTTCCAGGACAGCCAGAGCTACACAGAGAAACCCTGTCTCCAAAATCCAAAAAAGTCAGATACAATGCTACCATATGACTCCAGTTATAAACACAAGAGAACGAAAATGCATCTACACAAAAACTTCTACATGACTTGTCATAGCAGCATTGTCCATCAAGTCTAATAGTAACAATCAAATGTCTGTCTCTCAATTGGTGGTAAATACAATGTGATATACCTACCCAAAGAAATATTATTTGACCATACAAAAGAGAGCATTGATATATTCTGTAACACAGCTGAACACTGAAAATACTGTTTCAGTAAAAGAATTCAGGGCTGGAGGAATCTAGCAATATACAGGCTGTGGGTGTGACACCCAGCACTTTGAATAACAGACAATGAAAAAGAGAGAGGAAAAGAGAAGAATAAAATGAGACTCTAGTCACAGAGACTCGATACTCCATGATTCCAAACGAGGCAAATCTAAACTGACATCAAACAGATTAGCGGTGGCTGAACCCACAGGAGCTTGAGAAGAAATGAGGAGGAGTAGAGCAAATGGCCCAGGGCTTGGGGTGGTAATGAAAACATCCTAGACCTGACTGTGTTGCGGACTCAATTGTCCAGGATAAATAGGTGACTTACAGGAATATGAACTGCAGCTCAATAAAGTTGTTACAACAAAAAACCAAATGCATCAGAGACCCAAGGTTTAGCTCTAGCTGCAAAGACATGATTCTCAGTTTTCCAAATCTTTACAACCTATTTTCAGTTATTTCCAAGTTAGTGATGATAAATAAGTAGGTTGTTTACATGACTACTGGAAAGCTTGTCACCTTCAGAACCCCGAAAAAAAATCAGAAAAGGGTAAAAATTGCAGAGAATCAGTAGTAGGATGCACATCAATTAAATGGGTCTCAGGAATAAAAGCAACAACCTACTTGCTTTTCACAAGCAATTCACAGGGCTAAGGCAGTATCCCACCCACAGCATAATGGTAATGAGGCAAGGTTCAAGCACACACAGCCAAACAATTAACACACTTCATGTTATATGTACTATATAATTATCTACTACTATAAAAGAAGAAAATATCACAAGATCTTCAAACACTACTTCTCATCACTAAACACCAATTACTTAAAACTAAAGCAATTTTCAGAAGTTTCATCCTTTCGGTTGTGAGTCACGGGCTTCAGCAGAGACAGTGTGTCACATCCATCTCGGGCATCATTAACTGACCATTCCTTCATGCCACCGGCCAACGTTTTCCCACTGCAAACCTGCTGTCCTGCCAGCTGATCCAGACTACAAAGGCAGGCAGTCCCAAAAAACGACTTTTATCTTGAAAAGTTACATTTAATCCAAGGGCTAAAACAAATTTCCAAGAATGGTAAAAGTACCTTAAAAATGAAACAAATCTATAACAAAGTTACTTGTATTCTAAAATCTGTACACCACGGGTTATCTGACATATAGCCATGTAGCAAATCCGAGAGTAACGTAAGGCTCACCTTCCAAAAGATACAGTCTAGTTACTACCAGCACTAGAAGGTTCTTGTTACTCCTATACTAACATTAGCAATGCTGTGAAATGACAATCATGGTTTGCGGCTAAATATTTTCTGCATTTTTCTCATCTCATCATCTTTATCAAGGCAGATATTTGCATGAAAACAGTATCACTGGTCCCCTGGGATTCATCAGTTGCTACTGCTTATTTTTCACTCATGTCATCCTTTCAATTAATGTAGGAAAAAAATACCGAGACATCGAAACACCAGATTAAGGTGTCAAGTCAAAGACAACCCCTAGAGTAGATGAATAATCTAAGAGGAAAAAAAAAGATGTTTTTATGCAAATACACTATACACACTAAAACAAAGAGACTGTATCCAAGAAATCCAATCCATATCAATGCAGTCATTTCAATTTCTAACGAAGTATTTTCTTACTTCAAATAAACCCACTATGGCCAAGGACAATGGAGTAAGTTACAAAGTACTGTTACACAAGTGGAAATAGGCTGAATTATGAAGTATAACAATCTATGTCTCTACTGTGTGTTGTAGAATATTATTTCAAGGTGGGTTACTTTTGTTTATGCTCAGGAACGTTTGTTTAATGATGCAAAGATGTGTTTGATTATATAAAATTCACCTGCAGTCAGGAGGCTGAGTCAGCAACTAGCTGACAGGAAACGGTAGGGAGGAGCCAGGTGGAGAAGGGCTTATAAGGAGGATCGAGAAGCATGAGGGCTTTTTGGAGAACATGAGCAAAGAGAGGAATTCTGAAGAGCAGAATTAGCCTTTGAATCTTGAGTTCTTCAGAGGGACAGAGGTTTAGTTAAGTTCCCTTCTTAGCTTTGCAAGCGTCGGAGCCTAAGGGAACAGAATTCCCTCCGGCTACGCCCATGAGGCTAACTGCTGCTGGTAGTTGTTGATTCAGACAGCTGTGGCTTCAAAGGCAGCAACCATTTAAAAAGGGGCAACAACTGTGTTCATCCTACCCACACTGGCAGGAAAACAATCTTCGTTGTTCAGCCTAAGCTTAAGATTAAGATGGCTGAATTAGTTGACTGCAACTAACCCCATCCCAATGTCGTCAGTTCCTAGAAATACAAATACTTGGCAGAAAAGATGGCTCAGTGGATTAAGGGACCACACCGCCAAACCTAGTAACGTGAGTTCAGTTCCTTGGAACTTACATTAACAGAAAGAGAACCAGCTCTCCCAAGTTGTTCTCTGACTACTGCCCTGCAAGTATGTGCACTGGTACAGAACAGGTAAAGTCTCTCTCAGAAAGACACTCTTCCTTCCTGTGGGAATCAGGATATTCCAACAAACTGGATCACTTTATGCTCACCTTCCCTAATGCGGAGCAAAAGCTCTTGGCAGCAGCAAAGACTCTATGGCTAATGGCGTGAGTAAAGTGGAGCCTGCATACACAAAAGCAAGAATAAGAATACCCCTATGGGTCGGGCGGTGGTGGCACATGCCTTTAACCCCAGCACTCGGGAGGCAGAGGCAGGCGGATCTTTGTGAGTTCGAGGCCAGCCTGGGCTACAGAGCGAGACCCAGGACAGATACCAAAATTACACAGAGAAACCTTGTCTCGAAAAAACAAAAACAAAAACAAAACAAAAAAAGAATACTCCCAATGACATCATTAAGGGTCACAGATCTAGATAACCAAAGCTATTTCTAAGCCTGGATTTTTAATAAGAGAAAGTGAACTAACCAAGTTTCTCTTTAGATTAAACTAGTTTTAGTTGATGTCCTAGCACTTAAAATAAAAAGGTTCCAAAAGATGTATATTGCACAAAGATTTTTTTTTTACCTATTGAGTCCAGTCAATAGTCTAGCACATTCTGTCATAAAAGGCACCAAGTTACACCAAGTTCCTACCTTCAGATGGCTTGTCTTTGCCTTGGTAAAAGGAAAGTATATTTTCATGAGTTATAAATAGAATTCATTGTGGAATATACAACATGTAACCTTGTATAAAATTAATTGGGTACTCACACTCATCCAGCCCCAGCTGATAGGCCAGGTTCTGGAGGCCTCGTACCTTCTCCATCAAATTAGCTGTGGTGAGGCTCCCCAGCTCTGAAATAGAAGACTTCATTTTAGTATTACTTCTTCCCACTGGTCTCCAGCTACAACTGATTTGGGTTGATAGTTCTAGTAATAAACGATTTCTGGCTGGGCTGCGGTTACAGTTGAATGTTAGAACACTGGCCTAGCATGCAGGAAGCCCTGGATTTGATCACCAGAACTAAGAGAGGGTGAGGAAGATTTCAAGCGTACATTCCTTATTGACTAAGGACAAGACAGACCCTTGATTTCTTTTCCTCCAATTTTACATATTCTCCCACAAAAACAGTGAAATTTTCTACCACTGCAAAAATACCTCAGTATTATACTTAACAAATTAAGTGGGCTTCAAAATCACTTTTTACACTTTAAAAATGTATTTGGTGTGTGTTGGTGCACACTACTGCATGGGTATCGGAGGACAAGTTCAAAGAGTCAACTCTCCCTTCTAGCATGTGGGTTCTAGAGAGCAAACTCAAGTTGTCAGGCTTGGTGGCGTGTGCCTGTACAGCTGAGTCATCTCACCTTGGGTACCCAAGTGTTTTATCCCAAGGATCTACTTATAACATTCATTTTTGTCTACCATACAAAATGAACACACCGTTAAAATATGAAGGCTTACGATGTGACGGATCATTGAGAAAACCTTGCAGACACACCTTGGTCATGTAAAACTGATGTTGTCTCCATTGATAAGTCCCATGATTTCAACTATATATAGTAGCAATAATAGCAACAAAATACTGTTTACCATGTTCTCAACTATAGAAAACAAAAACTAATCCAAACTTTTCCTTCAAATCCCATTTTTGCTTATTTTATCTACAATTAATATTACTTACTTTCCAGATTTTACTTACTTAAATAAAAGCTACTCCCCACATTTTCATTAATTAGCACCTAAATCCTTGTTTAAAATAGACGTCAATTTGCATGAAACATAATGCTATGTGAACTCTCACTAAAATTTAAAGTTTTCTTAAGAAAAATATGCTCATCGTTTATTACATGAGTATTTTTGGAATAGCAGGACAATGAATCAGAGACGCCTTTGAGACATAACTTTTCCACGGGTGGGGAGGGAATCAGTGTCTAAACATGCGACAGTGAGTGACTTCTGAAATCACATAAAGGAGCTCTGGTCCTCCCTTTGTCATCCTGCAGTCAGTCCTACTGCATCAAGCACATGCGACTCTCTTGACTAGTTCAGCTGCTTAAATAGCTCAAGAATCCCCAACTTTTACCTTAATTTCAGTCCATTACTTTACAATCATCATGAATCTGAACACGAGAAGAATGATTTTTTTAAAAAAGAGTAAAGCCATAAAATTAATGTTTTTTTTAATTTAAATTTCCATTCTCATTGAACTCTAAATCATTTATCAAACAAAAGTATTCACTGCTCATAAAATTCTTGATGGAAGAAACTGAAAGAATAGAAAGAAATAAAGAGTAGTCTTAACCCACTAAGGCAGTGGTTCTCATCCTTCCTAACGCTGCAACCCTTTAATACAGTTCCTCGTGTTGTGGTGACCGCAACCATAAAATTATTTCATTGCTACTTCATAACTGTAGTTTTACTACTACTATGAACTGTAATGTACATATTTATCTGATATGCAGGATATTTGCTACGGGACCCCTGTGAAGATGTAATCTAACCTCCTAAAGGGGGCACAACCCAGAGGTTGAGAACCGCCGCACTAAGGGGTTGTCATTTTATAGTACTAAGGAAAATGTATGGCACTCGGGAGGCAGAGGCAGGCAGATCTCTATGAGTTCAAGGCCAGCCTGGGCTACAGAATGAGTTCCAGGACAGACTCCAAAGCTACACAGAGAAACCCTGTCTCGAAAAACCAAAAAAAAAAAAAAAAAAAAAGGAAGAGGACAAGCCTGGTGGCTGCCCGAAGTCCCAGATACTTAGGAGGCTGAGACAGGAGGAGACCCCATTAAAAACAAAAACAAGTCAGGCAGTGGTGACACACACCTTTAATCCCAGCACTTGAGAGGCAGAGGCAGGCGGATCTCTGAGTTTGAGATTAGTCTGGTCGACAGAGTGAGTTCTAGGACAGCCAGGGCTACACAGAGAAACCATGTCTCAAGAAACCCAAAACAAACCAAAAACCAAAGATAGTAGACATCAGCATCACGTACCTTTCAACATATCGATGTCATCACGTTCTATTTCAGCCATCCATTTTGGTGGAGAGCTAGTGATGGGCTGTCAGAAAATAAGAATACATCCATTCAGGTACATCCTTCTTATGAGAATGCAGTTTGTCACATAGCCTTCAGATTGTTTGAAAAGCTTGGCAAACTACAATTTCAAAACTCCAGGTCTTGTGGGTGGAGAGACGGCTCTCCGGGCAAGAACACTGACTCTTCTTCCAGAGGACCAGGGTTGATTCCCAGTACCCACAACCATCTGTATCCTTAGTCACAAGGGATATGATTCCCTCTTCTGGCCTTCTCAGGCACCAGGCACACACATGGTACACAGACATACATACAGGCAAAATGCCCATATATATAAAATAAGTAACGAAGTAAAATTTCAAAACCAGGTTGTTAGGTATAGCTTTCACTTCAAAAAGTCATTTTAGAAAGTCCTGCTACTCCGTTTTAAAATTGGTCTCAGAGGGGTAGTTTTGGATGAATTTTGATGTGTCTACTATTACTAATTCAAGCATCAGTTCAGCAATGAAATTATTTAAAATTCCATTCTTATGAAAGACTCCAATTGAATGTTTAAAACAATGATCAGTAACAGTCTCTGACAGAAAGAAGAATCAGAAATAAGAAAACCCTCAATTCAAGTGGGGAAAAATTAAAATGGTCATCACTTGATATTTCATCATTAATTTTTTTTTTTTTTCTGAGACAGAGTTTCTCTGTGTAGTCCGTGGCTATCCTGGGATTCTCTCTGCAGAACAAGCTGGCCTCGAACTCACAGAAATCCACCCGTGTCTGCCTCCTGTGTGCTGGGATTAAAGCGGCACCACTACCGCCTGGGCTAGGTTTCATCATTAAAATTTCTTTTTGTTTATTTATTTGTGTGATGTCGGGGGAGGGGGAGTAGAGCATGCATACGCCATAAGCAGGTGGAGGTCAGAGGACAACTTGTGGGTGTTAGTTCTCTCCTTCAATCATGTAGGTCCCAGGAACTGAACTCAGGTCATCAGGCTTGATGGCAAATGTGTTTACCTGCTGAACCATCTCACCAGCCCAGATTTCTTAATTGTATTGTAGAAGTTTTTGGAAATTTTCAGCACTTAAAAATGTTAACGAACATAAGTGGTATTGCAATCCAAGCAAAGGCTGAGGCAAAAGGATGGTTAAGTTCAAGGTCAGCTTGGGTTACTGTGGTGACTTGATGAGAATGGCCCCTATCAGAGCAGATATTTGAACACTAAGTCCCTAGTCGGTGGAACTGTTTGGAAAGGTTTAGGAGTGTGGCTTTGTTGAAGGAGGTGTGTCACTAGGGGTGGGCTTTGAAGTTTCCAAAGCCCATACCAGATCTCTCTCACTCTCTGCCTGCTGCTTGTGGATAAGATGTAAGCTCTCAGCTACTGCTCCAGCACCATACCTGTCTGCCTGTTGCCATGTTTCCCACCCCACCATCATGGTCTCTGAAACGGTAAGCAAGTCCCCAAGTAAATGCTTTCTTTGTAAAGTTTCCTTGCTCATGGTGTCTCTTCATAGCAACAGGACACAGTGAGATCGTCTTCCCTCTCACCCTGTGCAAAAACCAAATCCTGGACATTCCAAGATGAACTGACTCAGAATATCAAGGGCCATTAAAAGGGACTACTAGAAAGAAGAGAGCTAAGAAATTAAACAAAACAAAAAAATTGTAAAAGCTTTGCAGCTGTGCACTGACAAATCTGCCATGCAAACAGAGGTTAAGACACCTAACCTTGGGCCAGAGTGATGGCTCAGCAGGTCAATGAGCTTACTGCCAAACCCGATGACCTGAACTGAAACCCCAGGAACCACAGAAAAAGAGAAAACCAACTCCCACGTAAATAAAGGGGCAAAAGCCTCAAAATTATATACAGTTGGGGCAAAGAGAATATCAGTGTTACATCAAGTACTTCAACCGCTTAACCTTAAAGTTTTTGAGCTGAGAAAAGAGTATTAGCCTCTGACAAGGATCAGAATGTCAAAATAAAGCATTTGAACAGAGGAAGGGATTATCAACAATTAACTCTGATAATATAAAAGTATTTAAAGGTCTACAGTCAAAAAATGAGCCGGGCGGTGGTGGCGCACGCCTTTAATCCCAGCACTCGGGAGGCAGAGCCAGGCGGATCTCTGTGAGTTCGAGGCCAGCCTGGTCTCCAAAGCGAGTTCCAGGAAAGGCGCAAAGCTACACAGAGAAACCCTGTCTCGAAAAACCAAAAAAAAAAAAAAAAAAAATGATTAGAAGACTAAGGCACTATTCTTGAAAATAAAGATTTGAGCTTTTTATCCAAGGGCAAACTTTGGATAAACTTCCATAGACATAAGCTATTACTTACACTTTTGAAAGAAGCTGCAAATTCAGCAACTCCTGGTACTAGAAAGGAAAAACAACAACAAACAATGTTATTCATGTAAGAAACATTTGTGTGTTCAGGCACAGAGGATTTAAATAATAAAAAACAAAGTCTTGCCAAGTGGTGGTGGCTATGGTGGCACACACCTTTAATCCTAGTTCTCGAAAGGCAGAGGCAGGTGAATCCCTGAGTTCGAGGCCAGCCTGGTCTACAAAGCAAGTTCCTGGACAGCCAGGGCAACACAGAGAAACCCTCCCTCGAGCAAACAATCCAAAAACCTCCTGTTGCCTTCAAGGAGTTTACAATGTAGAAGAGGGCAGGTCAGAAACCACCAACACTGCTTAAGCATTTCAGAAAGATGTTAGCTGTTACAGGAAGACAAAACTGGAACTCTAAATCAGAATGATGGGGCAGGAAAAGCTTCTCAGGGAAGCCAATGCCTCACAGTTTTAAATAAGCAGGATCTGGCTTGGAGAATAGTAAACTATCTCTTGTCAGAAATTTAAAATTTCCTTTCCAGGGCTAGACATTTGTCTAGCATGTACAAGACCCTGAGTTTGATCCCCAGGGTTGCAAATAAATCAATCAATAAATAATAAAAATGAGCACAGTACACTTTCTTTTCAATTGTCCTTTCTGTTAAATTACTCCAATGTCTCATGGATAGTATCACATTAAAAATCAAAGCAAAAATTACATATTTAAAGTGAAATAATGTTCAGTTCTACTAAGAAATACAAGCTTGGGCTGGTGAGAAGGCTCAGTGGGAAAAGGCACTTGCTACTGAGCCCGACAACCTGAGGAGTGGATTCCCAGGTACATGGGAAAAGGATAAAACTGACTCCTACAAGCTATCCTCTGACTTCCATATGTACATCATGGCACATGGATGCCTCCCCCAGCCCAATAAATGAATGAATGCCATTTAATTAAAAAAAAAATGAGCCGGGCGGTGGTGGCGCACGCCTTTAATCCCAGCACTCGGGAGGCAGAGCCAGGCGGATCTCTGTGAGTTCGAGGCCAGCCTGGGCTACCAAGTGAGTCCCAGGAAAGGCGCAAAGCTACAGAGAAACCCTGCCTCGAAAAACCAAAAAAAAAAAAAATGAAAAAAATGAAAAAAGAAATGCAAGCTAAACATAATAATGACTAGTAACATCCAATATTGGCTAGTGAGAAAATGGGCAGTCATCCTCTTCTACATACAGGACATATATGCAAGGATAATAATTAATACGCTGCTTGTGAAATAAAAATCAGATAACTTAGGTTTCCAAACAGAATATAAATATAGAAACTAGAATATACCTATCCACTATAATATATTTAAAAGGATGAAGTAGAGCTACAGAGAGCAATATGGAAAAATACATCAAATTACTAATTTATTGATATTGCTGAAGGCTTTATACACGACTTCATCATTATGAAAACAACCCCTCTGACATCCATATCCCCCCCCCCGTGTGTGTGTCATGCACATGCATGCATGCATGTGAACTTATTGTATAAGTATTAAAAAAACCCAAAACCCGATGTATACAAAATTATTAACAGAGCAGGGCGGTGGTAGCGCACACCTCTGATACCAGTGATTAAAGGAGAAAATTAGATGAAGAAAAGTTTTGTGCATCTCAGAATAATCTGAAATTATTACAGACGTATTTTTAAAACTATTAATTATTGTTTAAAAGCTCTTTATCACTTGTCTCACATTAAGTCCCTATTTTTACTGCACATCAATCTCTTCCTTTTGAAGTGAAATAAAACTTCGATTATCAGGCGGGTGGTGGTGGTGCACGCCTTTAATTCCAGCACTTGGGAGGCAGAGGCAGGCAGATTTCTGTGAGTTCAAAGCCAGCCTGGGCTACAGAGTGAGTTCCAGGACAGGCTCCAAAGCTATACAGAGAAACCCTGTCTTGAAAAACAAAAAACAAACAAACAAAAAAAAACCTTTAATCATCACAGATACATGATAACACTTCAAAATTCTCCCATGGGGCCGGGCGGTGGTGGCGCACGCCTTTAATCCCAGCACTCGGGAGGCAGAGCCAGGCGGATCTCTGTGAGTTCGAAGCCAGCCTGGACTACCAAGTGAGTTCCAGGAAAGGCGCAAAGCTACACAGAGAAACCCTGTCTCAAAAAACCAAAAAAAAAAAAAAAAAAAAAAAAAAAAAAAAAAAATTCTCCCATGGAATCACTGACGCTCCTGCATCCATTCTGATAGAAAAGTAAAAACTTACATTGTTCCGGCCAAAGATCTGGCGAGGCTCGGTCAAGTTTCTCAAAACTTAGCAAAGATGCTTCCAAATCTGTCCCTAGAACCAAACACCAAGAGGAGATGAAAAACACATTCATTTATATTTTATTATATTTCAATCTCAAAGAGCATAAACTGAAACACTCCACTGGAAGTTTAAAGATCTGAGTTACTGATGCTAGTGGGCCATGATATAATATTAATAAACTTGATTCTCCCTCATCAAAACTCACGTCTTCCGGTCTACCAAATAAGAGTATTTAAGAAAGTTAGGGCTGGAGAGATGGCTCAATGGTTAAGGGCACTGACTGCTCTTCCAGAGGACCTAGGTTCAATTCCTAGCACCACATGGCAGCTCACAACTGTCTACGATTCCAGTTAGTACACATGTAGTGCAAAGTCATACAGAAAGCAAAATACTCATACATATAAAATTAAGAAAAATTGCTTAGAAAAATGAGTACTAGCTGGACATGGTGATCCAAATCTGTAATCCCAGCATTTGGGAGACTAAGGCAGGAGAATTAAGAGTTCCAGGCCGCCGGGCGGTGGTGGCGCACGCCTTTAATCCCAGCACTCGGGAGGCAGAGCCAGGCAGATCTCTGTGAGTTCGAGGCCAGCCTGGGCTACCAAGTGAGTTCCAGGAGAGGCGCAAAGCTATACAGAGAAACCCTGTCTCGAAAAACCAAAAAAAAAAAAAAAAAAAAAAAAAAAAGAGTTCCAGGCCAGCCCAGACTATATATCAAAACCCCGAGTAAGAAGAGTGTGAGCAAATCTATCTATGTCTTCACTCTACTTTTCAACTTTCCTCCATTCACAATCAGCTAAGTGTCCCTGCTCTCATGAAAGACAGTCTCTACTAAGACTGTAGACCACTGTCTCCAGCTTTGACAAGCACCTCAATCTTCTTGTACCATCAGTTTCTCATACTCAACAAGCAAACCTGCTCTACAAGTTTTCTACTTTCTGACTTTTGAAAAGAACATTTATTGCCAGGCTATGACAGTGCACACCTTTAATCCCAGCACTCAAGAGGCAGAGACAGATGGGTCTCTGTGAGTTCAAGGCCAGCCTGGTCTACAGAGTGAGTTCCAGGACAGCCTGATCTATACAGAGAAAGCAAAACAAACAAACAAACAAACAAAACAAAAACCTCCAAAAAACAAAAAAAAATGTATTGTTTAAAAAAGCAAAATAGTATTTACTTATTTATATTTATTTATTGGGTTTGTGTTCATGTCATAACAATTGAAGAAGCTGGTTATCTTCTTCAGGATGTGGGTTCCAGGCTCAAACTCAACTTAGCAGTCTTGGTGACAAGTTCTTTTACCCAATGAGTCATCTCATTAGCCCAAAATTTCCCTGTCTTGGGGAAAAGAAAAGAAAAGAAAAGAAACGAAAAGAGTGGGGAGAGGGGTCGGGGGCTGAGAGATCTGTCAGTAAACTGCTTGTTGTGCCAATATGAGGGCCTGAGTTTGATCTCCAAGAACGTATATGAAAAAAATGTGAGGTAGTGCGGTGTTAGTAATCCCAGCACTGAGGGATTCTTGGAGCTTGCTGCCTAGACATTTCAGGCCAATGAAAAACCTTACTGGAACAAGGTAGATGTCTCTTGAGAAACTACATCCAAGGTTAACCGAGTTTCCACACGTATGCAGACACATGTGCTGGTACCCACATGCATGTCTGAGCACAGACACATACATACACATTCTAAACATGCAAACTCTCCCCTTAAACTCATAACCTCCTTCCTGGGTATCCTGTTCTTACTTCATCACCTCACACTTGTGTGTGTGTGTGTGTGTGTGTATGTTGTAATGAGTATATAATGAGTGCAGGTGTAGGTGTGTGTGGCTATGGAGGCAAGAAAGGATGCTGAGTGTGTTCCTTCAGCTCTCAGACTTACTGTCTTGATATAGCATCTACTCTAAACCAGAAGCTGTTAGACCAGCTAGCCAGCAAGCTCTCAGGATCCACCTGTTTGTCCCTCACAATGCTGGGGTTACAGGCACATGCAACCATACCTGGTTTTTAAGTGAGTGCTTGAGATTCAAACTCAGGTCTTTATCTTTGCCGAGCAAGCATGCTTACCTACTGGGACATCTCCCCAGGCCCTATCCTTAACCTATAAAAATCATGATTCTGTCTGAGCGGTGGTGGCACACACTTTTAATTCCAGCACTCTGGAGGTAGAGGCAGGAGGAGCTGAGTTCGAGGCCAGCATAGTCTACAGAATGAGTTCCAGGCCAGCCAGGGTTACACAGAGAAATCTTGTCAAGAAAAATCAAGCACACACACACACACAAAAACAACTTTTTAGGCATACCTTGCCCACAATTCCCTCTGTAGCCTAGGCAAGCTTGAAGCAAAAATCTTCCTGCCTCTGTCTCCCAAGTAGCTAGGATTAAAGGTCACACATCAAGGCCAGTTTCATTTTTTTTTGAAAAATGTTAACTTAAGGCCAAATGCTTTGTAGGCATTATGCGGAAAACCTAGGATTAAACTATGAAATAAAACAGACTTGGAACTTATAATTGGGTGTGGCCCGGGCAAAGTTAACAGAATAACTATGCTGACAGTGAATATACTGAGATACTGAATAACGACAGAAGGGCAATTCCAAATACTAAAACAGAACCTGGAGCAAAAGCATACGGATATAACGAAAATACCCAATTGCCACCTGAGATGACGTGCATCTTAAATGACATATAAGCAGAAATGTTCCTGTCATCAGCCTAAGGAAACAACACATCAAGTAGAAGAGCGTGGGTTAAGGGTTGAGACGCGTACGAACTACATTAACAAGCCTAATTTTCATTTCCCACGGGACTCAGGGTCAGGAAACCAGGTCCTCGCTTCTCCTGCTGCCAGGGCAACGGTCCTAAACTGAGGAGACAGCATGTTTCTCTCCCGGCTCGATCCAGGGATGAACCCCGGTCCTCATGTCAGTCACCAGTCACAGCTAGGGCTTGAGAGACTCGCTCTACCTCTACTGAGATGAGAACAGAACCAACACTCCAAAGGGCCGGTCCGAAAAGAAAGCTCCCTTTCCCCTCAAGTAGTCCTTTTTGAGCCCTCAGCATCACCGATGGGCCAGGACAAACTGTCCTTCTTCCGGGAAAGTGTCTGGTTGGTGGCCTCCTTCACCCACCTAGGACACAGCGAGGCAGACCTGGTACTTGGCACCTCCGGAGACGCTGTGAAAACCCTGCTAGCTGAAAACCCGACATACCCCAAAGGAAAAAAAAAAGTGGGAGATAAAGGAAAGGGGCCCAAGAAATAAGTGTAAGCATGAAGACATTGGAAGTTCCCAGAGAAACAAATAAAGAGACTACAGGGGAACAATCTCCAAGCCGGCTCTTACCGTCCGTGGGAGACGCCATCTTCCAGCCCATGTCACGTGACGTGGCCAACCGTCGGCGGGAAAGCGAGGACCCACAAGCCACGCCCCTACAGAGATAACCTATCCTCAACTCGCGGCCCGCTCCTGTTACCCTACCCCATAGGGTAATATTTGCCTAGTCCCACCCCAGACAACGGCCCCGCCCGTGGCGTGGTAGTTAAGGAGGAACGTAGGCAAAATTCTCCAAGGGCCTTATTTACTTTCCTTAGCGAGGGGGCGGGGCCTCGGGGAGTGCCTACCTGTAGCCAATCGGAGTTCCCGGTTAGGGGGCGTCTTCCCTATCTCCGCTTGGTGCTTAGTAGGCAGTACCAAGTCGGGGGTGGGGGGCGTCTCCCCATCTCCGCCAATAAAAATCGACTGAAGTGAGAGGGGGCGAGAACGCTTCCGCTTCTGACCAATCACCTATCCCCAGGGCTGGGAGTGATGGGCGGGAGTCAAGAGTTCTGACAAATGATTGGTTAGGAGAAGTGGCCCTCTCCTCCAATGGAAAGGCCTGGCCGTGTGGAGGGCGTGGCCTAGCGGTGTGACTTCTGGGGAGGCACTGGCAGCCGAGGCTCGGGGGAGCTGGGCAGAGGAGCTGGTGAGCCATGGCAGCGGCGGTGGCGGCAGCGGCAGCAGTGCGGACCCGGATCCTGCAGGCGAGTGAGGGTGGCGACGAGGGACCATGATGTTAGGAATGGGTCCTTACCGCCCCGACTCTAAACCATGCTCCTGCCGGACAGACTTATTGGCCCATCCCCTTTTGCCGACCGACCCTCGTTCCACTAGACCCCTGCGTCCGGGTTGTCACTCTGTACCGTCTTTGGCCCTGGAGCTAGCCCCGAACCGTCACGCCTGGCTCTCCCTCCTTTCACTCCTGAGCTTTTCCTTTTCTGGCTCTGACCCATTCACCTCCAGTTCAGCTCAGTCCCTGCCGTCACTCACTGGCCTGCTTCTCTTTCTGGTTCCTCCTATGGTCTCTCACTTCTGCACCAGCGACCTCTGTTCCCCAGGAACATCCCCCTTTTGGTCACCTTTCTTAGAGTACATTCCTTTGCCAGGAGCGTTCCTTCCCCCCACCCCCACCTCTGATCATAATCTGAGGTGGGGATGGGGGATGGGAGCTCGCTAGGGACGTGCAATGAGGGTCAACGAAGAAACTTTGAATCGCCTAGAAATGTACCCTAGGTTTTCACATCAAAGGCAGCCATATTTGCTTGCTGTTTTCACAAACTATTATGATTCCTAGTGTTTTTCACAAGCTCTAAGCCAAGTTAAACTTTCTCAGCAAAGTTAAACGGAGTTAACTTTTGGAGGTAAGTAAGGGCACGTTGTAATGCTAATACTGCTTAATTCAAAGGACTAAACATTTCCCAAGCAGGTGGTAGAAAATGAGAGCCTAGGAAGACATGTTCCCAAAGTGAACTCCTCAGGTGCCAACACCCCCCACACACTCTGCAAGACTGGGATCGGAGCCCTGCAGAAGCCAGCCCTAAGGCAGTTATAGAGCTACAGAGACTTCAGTCTTGTAATCTCCAGCTTTGTTCGTAGCCTCTTGTGGGTTTGCACTTTAGCAAGGCCTTAGACTATGAGGCAAGATTTACTATGTTACTGGCAAGATTCATAATCCTGCATTAAGCAACATTGTCTCCTTACTCATTCAGCCTGGGAATGTCCTCTATAATGTTGCACTTATATAAGTTTTATTTCTATTCATCAGTTTCTATGAGTTCTACTGCAGAAAAGTGTGCATTTATTAGATTGTTGGAGTAACCAAAGGTTCAGGTTTGAATATGCTGTTTAATGGGCCAGTATGGAGAATGAGTTGGAACCTTAGGGGCTTGGCATGACTTCACTCCCCTAGTTCTGTTCTGGTTTCTCTTCCTAGTAAGAGGACAGCATTTCCACTCTACATTTCCCATCACCAACCTCTTAAAATCCTTTATAGAAATTGCCCCCTCCCCCATTCGTTGTTAACCCCTATTACCATGAGTCACTGAGAACCGTAAGATATTTTATCCTTTGAACAAAGGAGCAGAATCTCTCTTCCCATGAGTATTTTTTTTTTCTTTTTAAAAACCAAATTGAAGAAAACTCTGAACTAACTTGGAAAAAGACCAGAAATAATTCTTAGACAATTAGGAGTTACTGTAGCATGACAGTTTGATAAAGGCTAATCTAAGTGGACATAGTGGCACATGTACGTAGGCCCCGCTCTTGGAGAAACTGAGGTAGGAAAATCTCTTGAGACCACTTCAAAACTAGCCTGGGGAGGGAACCAGCCAGACAGCAGGAGGGAAGATGAGGAGGGTAAGTGAAGAAGAAGATGAAAAGCAACAGAGTAAAAGGGCATGCCTGAAAATGCTTTCATGAAAACAACTACTAAAAATAAAAATCAAGAAACAATAATATCCAAATGAAAAAGTAAAATTGGAAGCTGGAGAGATAACTGCAAGATTTGTAAGTAAGAGTGCTTACTGCTCTTCAGAGGACCTGAGTTCAGTTCCCAGAACCCATACTGGGTAGCTCACAACTGTCTGTAACTCCACTTTTAGGGGATCTGATAGTTTCTGGTCTCCTAGGGTACGTGTACACACATTCCATACATGCATTTATACACACACAAAAAAATTTTTAAATAAACTTTAACAGAAACAGCAGCAAAAACACCTGGATAACATACTAAGCCCCTATCACAAAAAGAAAAAGAAAGAATAGAAAAATAAACAGAAAGGAGAAAATTGTCTAAATTCTGACAGCCATGACTTTTAGAGGATTATCAGAAGAAACTATGAAGGATCAAATTCATGTTTCCAGAGATTTTAATTTATTTTTTAGGCTAGCATATAAAGTAATGGGTAAATTTTCAGTGATTTTAAGTATTCCGCCTATCTTTTATGTTTGGGGATTAGTAGAATTTAGCCTAGACTCTGCTTTGTGAGATATTATCTTTCCCATTCAGAAATAAGAAAACCAGTTTTTTTTTTAAACAGATTTATTTATTATGTATACAGTGTTCTGCCTGCATGTATGCCTGCAGGCCAGAAGAGAGCACCAGATCTCATTACAGATGGTTGTGAGCCACCATATGGGTGCTGGGAATTGAACCCAGGACCTCTGGAAGAACAGCCAGTGAAAACCAGTTTTAACGAAACCCAGTGACCTGCCTCGTTGATGCCTTGATAATCTGTAAAGTTAACCCTAACTCCACTACTCTCTAGTTTTGTTTTGTTTTTCGTTTTTTGTGGTTTTTGTTTTGTTTTGTTTTTGTTTTTGTTTGTTTGTTGGTTGGTTTTTCGAGACAGGGTTTCTCTGTGTAGTTTTGGTGCCTGTCCTGGATCTTGCTCTGTAGACCAGGTTGGCCTCAAACTCAGAGAGATTCTCCTGGCTCTGCCTCCCGACTGCTGGAACTAAAGGCGTGCGCCACCGCCGCCCAGCCTACTCTCTAGTTTTAAGACTATCTGTGAAGATTTGAATTGAAAAATGCAGTGAAGTAAATTAGCTGACACTTCAGGTCATTGGCCCGAGATCACCTAGTTAGTAATTGATGGAGCTGAGAATTTAGGACTGAGATCTTGGCATGCCTTTCTTCCTTTGCACTGTCCTAGACTTTTAACATATTCTCAACTGTAATGCAAGGAAAGTGCTGCACAATTAAGGGTGCCCAGAGTACTGAAAGGACAGGGAACAAATGCCAAACTCCAACTGTCTAATTAAGCACGAGCTTCTAGAAGAGGTGATTCTGGGTTTGAATGTTGCAAGACTAGCAAGTCATTAGCCAAGGGGAGAAGACAAAGGAAACAGCAGGTGGGAAGTTAATATCCAGAGCAGTGGTTCTCAACCTCTGGGTCATGGCTCCTTGGTGTTGAATAATTCTTTCACAGAGGTTGCATATCAGATAGCCTGCATATCAGATATTTATATCATGATTCATAACAGTAGCGAAATTACAGTTAAGAAGCAGTAATGAAATAATTTTATGGTTGGGGGTCACCACAACATTAGGAACTGTATTAAAGGGCCATAGCATTAGGAAGGTTGAGAACCACTGCTCTAGAGAGTGAAAGTCGGAGGCTAGTTTTTTCAGAAATAATACTAATGAGTATTTCTTAAGAAATGCAGGGCTGGAGAGATGGCTCAGTGGTTAAGAGCACTAGATGCTCTTCCAGAGGTCCTGAATTCAATTCCCAGCAACCACATGGCAGCTCACAACCATCTATAATGTGATGTGATGCCCTCTGGTGACATGTAGTCATACATGCAGACAGAGCACTCATACCTAAAAAAAAACAAAAACAAAAAAACCCATAAAATAAATTAAAACACACACACACACACACACACACACAAATAAATAAATTTAAAAAAAAGAAATGCAAAGCAGATATGAGGTCTAACCCTGCAAAAACTACATGATGATATTTCACTATAGTGGGTGGACTGTCAGCTTTATCTTCTTTCCATGAGGAAGGCTGTGTGGAAGTTAAAACACAAAGTTTAACTGACCTAGAATGCTTAAATTAGCTGATCCATGCACTTTCTATCCTTAAGAACACATAAAACAATATTAGTAATAAATTATTGCTTGGTGAGTATTCATCCTTTGATTCTGCAAAATATTAACAAACCCTCAGTCATTAGAGGGATTAGGCTAGGGGAAGAGGACACAATGGTCTAGTGATCTCAAGAGAGAGACACTTAATCATTAAACAAGCTGCTATCCTGTAACATGGAATGAAAAATGGAAGATGTTGAGTGCTTAACCTATACCTGAGGTTGAGACTACCTAGAAAAGATGAAGGCCATCTAGAAACCTGAGGGAGTTGAGAATGAGCCAGACTAGTGGAATGAAACAGTTTCAGACACGATGGGTCATCATATACATGTCCAGAAGGCTTGGACCAACCTTGGGGCAAAACAGTATAATGTCCAACTCCAGATGGGTGGAGCAGAGAACAAGGAGGAAGTAGCAATCACACTATGAAACCAGAGAAGCAGGAGAACTACACAGTCTTCTAAATAGCCCCAAGGATGTTAATCTTGATTGCAAGGGCAGTAGAAAGCCATTAGAGGGGCTTTTTGTTTTGTTGTTTTGTTTTTTGCTGTTTTGTTTTGCATTGCTAAAAATGGAGCCCAGGAACTTGTACATGCTAGTTACTTTACTTCTGAGCTACGCTCCCAGCTCCACGGAAGGGTTTGCCATAAGTGGGTAGTCTAACCTACTTCCTCTTAGAAAGACCCTCTGATTGTGGAATAGAAACTAGATTCTGAACTTGGTGGTGCACACCTTTAATCCTAGCACTCGGGAGACAGAGGCAGGAGGATCTCTGTGAGTTCCAGGACAGCCTGGTCTACAGAGTGAGTTCCAGGACAGCCAAGGCTACACAAAGAAACCCTGTCTTGAGAAACAAAACAACAGAAGAAACTGGGTTCAGAGCATGTAAGATTGAAAACTATGAGACTTATTGAAAAGTCACTGTTGAAATCCAGAGAGGAGAAGGCAGTGTGGTCAAAGACTTCTATGAAGATAGATGGTCAGGACATATTTGGTTCACTGATAGAGAAAGGGAGGAGATCAGGTGATGTGGTCAGCCAGGTGACTGAGGACCCCATTGCTCGGGTGGGTGGGTGGTAGGAAGTAAAGCAGACTGACGGGAGGAAAAGGAGGTCCAGCTTTCCAACATGATCCTAAGTAGAGGGATGAAAATAGTTCCATGGGTGTGACCTGCAGAGGGAGATTCTGGTTGAGAACTGCAGACCTGGGCATCATCGGAGTCTAATTAGGCCACTGGAGTTGCTGGAATCTCTCAAGGAGAGTGTACAGAACAAGAAGAAAGCAAGCCCAGGACTAAGCCTTGGGCAACTGAGTTAATGGCCTGGAAGAAGAGAATGGGGTTGGGGGGGATGGAAAGATGAGACACCAGGGCAGCACAGGAGACGAGAAATTAACCATGCCACTTTTACTGTGAGGTCAAGTCTAAGGAAGACTTAGGAGGATATAACAAATCACTGATATTTAGTCATGAAGGTTGGAGTAGATTAAAGAGTTGAAGGGGGTTAAGTAAAGATAACTTACTAAAGGAAGAAACCCATTTGGTAATATCCGAGATCTCCTGGTGAAGATGGGAAAAGTCAATGGTCACTGGGATTTTGCTTCGCTCTCCTCTGCTCCCTGGTCCTTGTGATCACCATCAAAAGAATTCAGGGGAGACACACATAGTATAGTGTAGAAGTGAAGCGCTCTGTTGGTGAACCTGGACAATGACCAAGGGGACCATTGTTGTAAAGCACCTTCTCAAGAGCTGAGAGTCAACAGTGGACAAAGAAACCATCAGCCCAGCTTTCTTTCACTTGAGTATTTCTTAAGTCAACTTTTCTAACATATGTTGAATATTTTTTAGAAGTACAATGTGAGATTTATTAACATTATTATAATTGAGCCTCCCTCCTTAATTCCCTGATTTTTTACCCTACCAAATATCAACGTGTCCCTGCCATGAGGTACCTGTACCATTTTAAAAATAGCTTCATTAAAGTGAAATTGACACAAAATAATCTGTACATATTTAAAATACACCATCTGGTAAGCCTTAATGCCTGGGAAGTATCAGAATAATAAAAGTATTCACTACCACAAAACGTCCCTTTCAGCGCCCCTTACTGCTGCCCCCTTCACCCATGGGTACCTGCAGATCTGATGATGCTACAGATGAGATTGTATCACCTAGTTCTATATCAATGAAGTCACCTGCTGTTTCATCTCATTCGTTTTCCCCTGGAACAGAGTCTCACAGCCCAGACTACTGGATGTATGATCCATCAGCTTCCTGAAGTGCATCTCCATACTCAACTATGGCATTTTTTAAACTTTACTATTAGCATATATTCTATAAAAAATGGCCTCCATTGTCATATTTTCATATGTATGTTCTCTGATCACATTATCTAATAGTGGACATTTGTGTCATTACCAAGTTTGAGGCTAATGAAAGATGTTATGAGCATTTGTATTCAAATATGTGTGAATATATATTTACATTTTATTACTATTTAATATGTATTCACATTGGCCATAGACAATATTATTTATGGTTCATTACATTAACACTGATTTAAACTGTCTTCAACACTTACTTTAAATATCATATTAAGTACTTTTGTTAGATTTGTGGTGACTATATTTTGCAAAATACAATATAATGACTAAAAAGATTCTTTAAATCAGGACTTCCCAGAACATCAGGCAGTGGTGGCGCATGCCTTTAGTCCCAGCACTCAGGAGGCGGAGGCAGGTGGATCTCTGTGAGTTCGAGGCCAGCCTGGTACTCCAGGATGCCCAAGGCTACAAAGAGAAACCCTGTCTTGAAAAACTTAAAAAAAAAAAAAAAGACGTCCCTGGAAATCCAGGACATGATCTTTATGATTTATTGTTTCCATAACTTTCTGTGTCTCCTAGTTTCTTGTCAGGATTTTCATTTGGTTAGTTGTTGGGGTTTTTGTGTTTGTTTTTGTTTTTGTTTTTTAAGACAGGGTTTCTTTGTGTAGCCTTGGCTGTCCTGGAACTAACTCTGTAGATCCAGCTGGACTCAAACTCACAGAGATCCGTCTGCTTCTGCCTCCCAAGTGCTAGGAATTAAATCATGCACCATCATGGCCCGGCATTTATCAGATTTTGGTTTTGTTGAAATAGGATCTTACCGTGTAGTCATGGCTGGTCTGAAACTCATTCTGTAGACCAAGGATGTCTCCAACTCACAGAGACCGCCTGTCTGCCTCCTGAGTGCTGGGATTAATGTGCCACAACACCTGGCATTTATCAGATATTTTTTAATCCCATAGGTTTCTGCTAAAGTAAACTCCACATGGTACCCAGCATCCTACTTATCATCATCATCAGTGGTGAGTATTTGAGGTGCTAAAGATGAACTTCTAAGAAAGAATCGGTGTAATTTTCAGGCATTTCCTTTTTATACAATTGTGATCAAAATGTATGTAACTTTTAGTTTGTTTTGCATTTTTTATTGAAATTTTTGTGTGTTTATGGTATTTTGCCTGCACACATGCCTGTGTACCATGTGAGCCTGGTGTCTGCAGAGACCAGGAGAGGCTGTTGCATACCCTGGAGCTGTTTTCAGATGGCTGTGAGTGGGTACTGGGAAGGAACTTGGGTCCTCTTAAGTGCTGAACCATCTTCCAGCCCCTTGTTTTGTGTTTTTAAAAACTGGTCTCACGCCGGGCGGTGGTGGTGCACGCCTTTAATTCCAGCACTCTGGAGGCAGAGGCAGGTGAATCTCTGTGAGTTCAAGGCCAGCCTGGTCTACAAAGTGAGTTCCAGGACAGTCTACACAGAGAAACCCTGTCTCGAAAAACCAAAAAAGAAAACAAAACAAAACAGGTCTCACACCTTTAGAGAGGCAGAGGCAGCTAAATCTCTGAGTTTGAGGTTAGCCTGGTCTACAGAGTGAGTTCCAGGTCAGCCAGGGCTACACAGAGAAACTCTTGTCTCCAAAACAATACAAAAAACAGGTCTCATTATGTAGCCCTGGCTTGACCTGAACTCACTATGTAGATCAGGCTGGCCTTTAGCTCTTGCGTCAACTCCTCTCAAGTGCTGGGATTACAGATATGTGCCACCATGCCCAGAAAATTTTTCTACTTTAGTTTTCTTGTCTGTCACTATATCTGTTATGTTTTAAACAGTTTCAGTGTTGCAAGATATTCTTTATAATTACAATTTTTAATGGCTGCATAATATTCCATCTGATGTATGTAACTTGATTTTCTTCATAGAACATTTAGTGTGCTTCAGGTTTTTCAGTATTGTGAAATGAGCATTCTTCTATAGTTTTCAAAAATTCTTTTGGATTATTTTTGTCTTGAACTTTACTCTCATAACGTATAGATATTTCCATTGCTACTGGAAGTTTAAATTTTTGGTAGGGAAAGGATTAGAGATGGTTCAGCAAGTACATCCAATTAGCATCAAAATTCCTTCCTCACAGAGAGAGAAGCAAAATAATTCATAGAAAGGGGCTTTTATGTGTGTCTTTTTTTCTCTAGCCAACTGTAAAACTCTTCATTGATGGGAAATTTGTTGAATCCAAAAGCGACAAATGGATTGACATCCACAACCCAGTAAGCAAAACCTTTCTGGACTTCAGCCTAGTAGCCTAGAATTTGGGGAGCAAGGGACAAGGCGGGGGCTTGGGGCTCTACCACAAAGCACAGTGTTGCCCCTGTGAGTAGGCCAATGTGGGGAAGGTGAGGCCCTGGCAAAATGGGATGGCTTCTTTTCAGGCCACCAATGAGGTCATCGGCCGGGTCCCTCAGTCCACCAAGGCTGAAATGGCGGCAGCTGTTGCTGCCTGCAAACGTGCTTTCCCTGCCTGGGCAGACACATCCATCTTAAGCCGTCAGCAGGTCCTGCTCCGCTATCAACAACTTATCAAAGAAAACCTGGTAAGAACTCTGAGTGGTAGCCCAGCCCGTTTCCTACGGTATGTTGGTCACCTCTTCAAAGACTTGTTGAGCTGCCCTCTCTGACTCCACAATACCGGAGGACATTGACCCTTGTGAGTTCTCTCTCAGTTTCGTCTGTCCTTGGAGGAAAATAGGTGTCGAGTATGTGCTTAGTGAACACGAGCAAGACCCTGAATTCAGCCTGCATGGTGGTTCATACCTGTAATCCCAGCACTTGGGAGGTGGAGGCATGAAGATCGTGAGTTCAAGGCCTGCCTCAACTACAGAGCGAATTTGAGGCTAGCCTGAGCTACATGATACATTGTTGCCCCCCCCAAAAAAAAACATCACCACCACCCAAAAATCATAACGTACATCCTCACCATCAAGAAAGTAAGTAAATAAAGGAACATCCTTGGATTAGTTTCTATTTGTGTGTTTTTTCTCTAGAAAGAAATTGCCAGGTTAATCACAATGGAACAAGGGAAGACTCTAGCTGATGCTGAAGGAGATGTATTCCGAGGCCTTCGTAAGCTGGGAGCCCCTCAGGGGACTTGTGGGAGAGGTCAAAAGAAGATGGGAGACATACCCCAGAATGGGGACGTTGATTCTTTCTTTATGTAGATTTTGCTATCCTATAGTAACTTTTCCCTTCTTTCTCTCTCTCTCTCTTTTTTTTTCTTTGTTTCTATTTGGGTTTTTGTAGCAGGCTTGCTTTTGGGCCACCAACCAGCTCCAAAATCTTGACATGGAGACTTATCATTAGTTACGAATGCTGGACCTAATCTTATGCTTGTCCCACTAGCTCTTATAACTTATTTAACCTGTTTCTATTCATCTATGTTTTACCTCGGGGCCTTTTACCTTTCTTTCTGTATGTCCTGCCCCATGTCTGCCTGGCTGGCTGACCCCGGATGTCTCCCTCTCTTTCTCCCTCGTTCTCTCTCTTTATCCCAAGCCTAGATTCCTCCTCCTACTTATTCTCTCTGTCTGCCAGCCCCGCCTCTCCCTCCTCTGCCTACCTATTGGCCTTTTGGCTTTTTATTAGAACAATCAGATTCCTTAGGCAGGCAAAGCAACACATCTTTAGATTGTTAAACAAATGCAGCATGAACAAATGTAATACACCTTTACATAGATAAAGTAATATTTTTCAACATAAACAAATGTACCACATCTTTACATAGTTAAAGTAATATTCCACAACAGTTTTTTTTTTTTTTTTTTGTCCTTTGAGGCAGAGGCTCACTGTGTATCTCTGGCTGCTAGCCTCAAACTCAGAAAGATCCGCCTGCCTCTGCCTCCTGAGTGCTGGGATTAAAGGCATGTGCCACCACCTCCTGGCCCAGCAATACCTTTTAAAACATTTTTAAAGACAATGCTTGTTTGGTGCCTTTGAGACTAATTTGGTTTGGAGTGTTTTTTTTTTTTTTTTTTTTTTTTTTTTGTAAGCTCAAATGATGTTTCAGAACAAATATGCATCTCACTGTCCCTCTTCCCCCCTCAGAGAATCTGTTTATCTAATCTTCCCACATGGAAGGACAAATCCCCGTCATTGGTCTGACCCACCCCTTATTCTCAGGATTGACTAGAGCGTGACAAAAAACCTAAGTAGTATTCAGTCTTCGTCTTCTCTCTTCCAGAGGTGGTTGAGCATGCCTGTAGTGTGACATCCCTCATGCTGGGAGAGACCATGCCATCTATCACCAAAGACATGGACCTTTATTCCTACCGTCTGCCTCTGGGCGTGTGTGCAGGCATTGCCCCGTTTAATTTTCCTGCCATGATCCCCCTTTGGATGTTTCCCATGGCTATGGTCTGTGGAAATACTTTCCTAATGAAACCATCAGAGCGAGTACCTGGAGCAACTATGCTTCTTGCTAAGTTGCTTCAGGATTCTGGTGCCCCCGATGGAACACTGAACATCATCCATGGACAACATGAAGGTAACTTTCGTGTGGGTACTTATCTGACTTCCGGTGTTCAGTATTGATTGGTAATGTTAATGTTCATTTATGGGCATGTGATTCTCTGTGTGTCTGCCACATATGTATGGGAGCCCACAGAGGCCAGATCAAGGCATTGGATCTCCTGAAGTTGGAGTTATAGGTGTTTGTGAGATGCCCAGTGTGGGTACTGAGAACTGAATTCATATCCTGTGGAAGAGTGAGAAGCATTCTTTTTTTTTTTCAAAGCAGGGTTTCTCTGTGTAGCTCTGACTGTCCTAGGACTCACTCTGTAGACTAAACTGGCCTTGAAACTCTCCGAGATCCACCTGACTCTGCCTCCCAAGTGCTGGGATTAAAGGCGTGCGCCACCACTGCCCAACTATGAGAAGCAGTCTTAACTACCAAGCCATCTCTCAGGCTCTATGATTGGGAATTGTAGTATGAGGAAATTAGCAAGGAAGGATTTTACTAAGAGTAACCTCCATGTTTTAAGGTCATATGTCCTAACCATCTTGCCATCTGGATGGACTAAAGTAACTAACTAGGAGTGTTTCTTATTCTATACTACACACAAGGACACCAGAGCAATGGATTTGGACCAAAGATAAGATTAAAGAGAAACTTTATTTTCTTGTTTAATATCTTAACATCCCTTTAAGGGAGGTACTATTTTTCTTTCTTTTTTTAAAATTTTTTATCAAATCTTTTCTTTTTTAATTAATTAATTTATTTATGTATACAGCATGTATGACTGCAGACCAGAAGAGGGCACCAGATCTCATTACAGATGGTTGTGAGCCACCATGTGGTTGCTGGGAATTGAACTCAGGACCTCTGGAAGAGCAGCCAGGGCTCTTAACCTCTGAGCCATCTCTCCAGCCCGGGAGGTACTATTTTTCATCTTACAGATGAGAAAATGCACCGGGCGGTGGTGGCGCACGCCTTTAATCCCAGCACTTGGGAGGCAGAGTCAGGCAGATCTCTGTGAGTTCAAGGCCAGCCTGGTCTACAGAGCGAGATCCAGGAAAGGCACCAAAACTACACAGAGAAACCCTGTCTCGAAAAAACAAAACAAAACAACAACAAAAAAAAAAAGAGAGAGAGAGAAAACAGAGGCAGAGTACAATTAAATCATTTGCTCTAAGTAACACTACCGGAAACTAGGAAAATTAGGATATGTCTATCCAGGAAGGCTGGCTCTGGTTCTTACTCTTAAATATTGTACCCTATCTATAACCTCTGCATGAAGGTCTTAAGTATTTGAGAATCTTAGATATAACATATGCTTAAAGGGTAAAATAAAAAGGTCAAGTTTTGAAAGACTGTTACTTTATTTGAAGAAAATAGAAATTGTAGCCTTTATGGGCTGTCAAAATGGATCAGCATGTAAAGGTACTTGGCAAGTAAGCAAGATCCCTGAAACTCATACAAAGGTAGGAGGAGAAGACCAATTTCACAAAGCTGTCCTCTAACGTCTACACGCACAGAGAGACACACATCATCATCATCATCATCAAACACACATGCACTCTAATAATAATAAATTTTAAAGAAATTATGACTTTCAGAGATTAGAAATTGTTTCCACTTAGAAGTGTTTCTAAAATACTAAAGAAAATAAATAAGTTAAAATTTATAATGTAAAGACAGGTATGGTGGCACATGACTATAAAACCAGGATTTGGGAGATGGAAGCAAGTGGACCTCTGTGAATTTGAGATCAGCCTGGTCTAGTGAGCCCCAGGCCACCAGCCAGGGGTACATAGTGAGACCCTGTCTCAAAAACAAAACAAATTGTCGTTTAAGAGAAATAAGAGCACACCACAGTGGAATTTCCATGTAGAAATGTATGAATGCTAATTCACAGTATGGGGCAAGGGAAGGTTTACTGTTGATAAACCTATGGGTTATTAATTCTTTATGGTAATTGCTTATTTTCTTTTTAAAGCTGTAAATTTTATTTGCGATCATCCAGACATCAAAGCAATCAGCTTTGTGGGCTCCAACCAGGCAGGAGAGTACATCTTTGAAAGAGGGTCAAGAAATGGCAAGAGGGTTCAGGCCAATATGGTAACTTCTCTTTCCTTTTGCTTCTCAGACTTGGCTGTGTGGCTATGTAAGGCCGTCTCCTCAGTAGACGGCCAGTATTTGTCATTTCATCCTGAGTGTCTGCTACCTTAGTCCCTGAACCTTGTGAAGTTTAATTCTGTTATGGTGATCATCTTTTACCATACACAATTAATCTTGGTGACAGAGGGCACATTCCTCCTCAAAAATGTTGCTTCAGTTCTTTAGTCTTCAGCATTAACAGCCAAATTTCTCTTTCTAGACCTTATTTCTTGCTTCTTTTAAAAGTATACCCTAACTACCAATGGTATGGCTTAAAAATATGATAAAGGTATGGTTACCCCTGAGGTTATTTATCTGTACAACCAGTTTGTCAAGGAAATGAAAGGGGCCAGTCCACGGAAGGCACTGGTTCATATGTCCTCATATAATACATAGTTTATTTTTGTATTCTACTATTTTTTTGTTTTTGCTTTGGTTTGGTTTTTTGAGACAGGGTTTCTATGTGTAGCCCTGGCTGTCCTGAAACTTACTCTGTAGACCAGGCTGGCCTCGAACTCACAGAGATCCGCCTGCCTCTGCGTCCCAAGTGCTGGGATTAAAGGTGTGCGCCACCACCGCCCAGTTTCTACTAGTCCCTTAACCTGTCAATTTGAAAGTAACACCCTTCCCACCACTACCACCTTGTAAATGGTTTTGACCTAAATAGATACATATCAGTTTCTCAAGAAGATTAAAATAACATGGAACCTGTTTAGTATTGCTTAGACTTCAGCAGTATTAAAAACAATCTCTGGCCTGTGCTACAGAGTGAGTTCAATACTAGCTTTGGCAACTTAGTGAGAATTTGTCTCAAAGTAAAATGATTGAAAAAAAAAGAGATATACCTCAGTGGCTGACACTTCCTTGGCATATATGAGGCCTACATTCAATTCCCAATACTACAAAATTTTGAAATTAAAAAAAAATTGTTTTAAATCTTTGTTCAAAATAACAAAAGATAGTCTTTCCTTAGCTTCTCATTTTATGTATCGGATTCTTTGCTTAAGTTCTTGGCTTAACTTAATTTAGCTAAGAAGACCTGTGTGCTTTCTGCATTTCTTTAGGGAGCCAAAAACCATGGGGTAGTCATGCCAGATGCCAATAAGGAAAACACTCTCAACCAGCTGGTCGGGGCCGCATTTGGAGCTGCTGGCCAACGCTGCATGGCTCTTTCAACAGCCATCCTTGTAGGGGAAGCCAAGAAGTGGCTGCCAGAGCTGGTGGAGCGGGCCAAAAATCTGCAAGTCAATGCAGGTAATCAGGCACCTGCCAAGTAACTTTAGACTTTGCTTCTCTGGCACTGACTTCTTAGATTTGGCCTTGGCCTTGTCCAAGGGAGCAGTTGTATATACTTCTACCATTACCTCTCTTTAATTCTCCTTGTCATTCAGAGTTATTTCAGCAGTGAAATTTTATGTTAATAACAACCTTTGACACGTCTACTTGTTTTACAGGAGACCAGCCTGGAGCTGATCTAGGCCCTCTGATCACTCCCCAGGCCAAAGAGCGAGTCTGCAATCTGATCGATAGTGGAAAAAAAGAGGGAGCTTCCATCCTTCTGGATGGGCGAAAAATTAGAGTCAAAGGCTATGAAAATGGTAACTTTGTTGGACCAACCATCATCTCCAATGTCAAGGTAAACAACTCTGGATTATTTAACAAATGCAAGAGCTGAAAACACCTTCGAGGCTGGGGAATCTCTAATCTCTGCTCCTAACTACTGAAGTGTCCCAATCAATATATTAACTACCCAGTATTTATAGAATATTTTACCCTGTGCCCAAAAGTTAATTTCGTCTTTACCAAAGTGGAACAAAAGAAAATCATCTATCAATTTTATTTATCAAAGTTTGAGGGTCTCTCAGCTCCCATTCATGACTAAATTGAGGCAGACTTTTCGTTGTGTGTCTTCACTAATCCCGAAAGATTACGGGTTGCAGCGTCTTGCCACAGAACTGAAAAGAAAACGTATTGGCAACGGACACAGCTGGCTCGGTGCAATGGTGAAGGATGTTTTGAATATTTGACAAGAACCCAGTATCAAAACTGGAGACTTATTTGGAGGCAAAGAAATGAATGAGAATGGATGTTTGTTGCAAGGCATTCCGCAAGGAGTTTCTAGAAAAGTTCTGGTATACTAACTTATGTTTGATTCATAAAACGGACTTTTCATGTAACTTTCATTAATGACTTATGAAACGAGTTATACAGGTATTAAAAAGGAAGCTGGTGATGGGTCTTGAACTTGAAATAGAGTAATGAAAAGCAAAAAATGCAAGAATTCCAAGTTACTTATATGGTGGGGGCTCCACAGGTGTCTACCTTTTGAACAGAAGTAAGCAATGATGAAAGATTCCTAGCATGAAAGCTACCCTGGAGACAACGGGGGGTGAGTCAGGCTGCCAAAAGTGCATTAAATACTCACTTCACAACGCTGACTTCTTTCTGGACCCATCTCTCCTGACAGCCAAGTATGACCTGTTACAAAGAAGAGATTTTTGGTCCAGTTCTTGTGGTTCTGGAGACGGACACATTGGATGAAGCGATCAAGATTGTAAATGACAATCCATATGGAAATGGAACAGCCATCTTCACCACCAATGGGGCCACTGCACGGAAATATTCTCACCTGGTGGACGTCGGACAGGTTTGTGAAAGGAATTTCTGAAGTTTCTTACAGCTAAGAGGAGGAGACAGTGAACAATGATCAGTCAAGTGCACCTTGTTTGAAGACTGCACCTTTAATTGCCCATAATTCCCCATTCCTTCCTCATGAAGAAAAGTTCTTAGGGTGGAGCACAGGTGCAAGATGACTACTTAAAATTTCTACTTCCAAAAAACCCAAACTACGCAAAATCTACCATCGAAAGAAAAAATAAAATGGGGCTCTGTTGTCTTTGTCTTCTATCTACGTGGACACTGGTTGGAGCCTTCCAACAGTTTGTGATGTGCGTCTCTTCTCTCTAGGTGGGCGTGAATGTCCCCATTCCAGTGCCTCTGCCAATGTTTTCCTTCACCGGCTCTCGATCTTCCTTCAGGGGAGATACCAATTTCTATGGCAAACAGGTAACTTTTGAGGTGGTATTTTCTTTCCTTTGAGAAACTTTCTTCAACATATTCAGAGCAAGATTACATAAAGGACTGGCTGGAATCTGTTATGGAGTCATCTCTTCTGCTCTGTTTCTCAGGCTCCTAAAAAAAAATTTAAAAGTTAACAAAATTTTGCCAACCCTGTCTCTTCTTGAGTAACTCAAGACAGTATGTTTAAAGGAAAGAGTGTAAGGAAATCCAAGTCTTTGTGTAGATCATTTCTTTTTCCTGTAACTCTGTCATCTGAATAACTTCTAAACATTTATCCTGTCTTGGTTTAAAGATCTTCAAGCTTTTTTGTTTTGTTTTGCTTTTTCATTTTTTTTTTCAAGACAGGGTTTCTCTGTGTAGTTTTGGTGCCTGTCTTGGATCTTGCTCTGTAGACAAGGCTGGTCTCGAACTCACAGAGATCTGCCTGCCTCTGCCTCCTGAGTGCTGGGATTAAAGGCATTCGCTACCACTTCCTGGCCAAGCTTATTCTTATACAATAAATTATATATATATTAGGTGGGGTGGAATAGAACATAGGTCTTACACAGCCTTAAGTGTACTAAAGGTTTTGGTAACTTAGAAATGGATCTGTACACTATTTTAGGTTTGCCACTTTGTATAATATGGCACATTATCACTGACTACTAGAGATAGAAATTTTTTTTTCTTCTTTTTTTTTTTTTTTTCCAGAGCTGAGGACCAAACCCAGGGCCTTGCGCTTGCCACTGAGCTAAATCCCCAACACTTAAACAAATTTTTCTTTTTGTTTTTCGTGACAGGGTTTCTCTGTGTAGTTTGGTGCATGTCCTGGATCTCTGTAGACCAGGCTGGCCTCGAACTCACAGAGATCTGCCTGCCTCTGCCTCCCAAGTGCCGGGATTAAAGGCGTGCACCACCACCGCCCAGCTTGATAGAAATTGTTGAATATCAGTTACTTTGCCATGTTATTTCAGTTTCTCCTTACAACTCTGATAAAAGGTGAGTTTTTATCACAGACAGGGATCAAGGTTAAGCTATAGTAAAGTCTAAAAGCAGGATCTGAGCAAAGTCTATTGATTTTGCTGCATAGTCAGCTCTGAAATAGAGTGGCCTGAAAATTTAACAAGATTACACTCTTCAGTTTTTCTACTTTGAGTCCCCTATGCTTAAAATTCTAACTTCAGTATATTAATGATGTCTAAGTTTTAATTGTTTAGTATCTGGCAAGTATTATGCTAAGTGTCTTTATTATTTAATTCTTTGTGCCAGAGGTGGGGAGCGGGTATCCATGCGGAGGTCAGAGGACAACCTTGGATATTGATCTTTGCCATCTTGACTCTTGTTGTTTGCCAGACTAGCTGGCCCTTGAACTTGCAGACATTCTCCTATTTCTACCTCCCATCTCACCATACGGGATTACTGAAGCTTGCTACTGCACCTGACTTTTACGTGGGCTCTAGGAATCCAAACTCAGGTCCTAATGTGGCAACTGCTTTACCCACAAAGACATCTCCTCAGACTTATTTATTTTTTGGAGACATGGTCTTATATATCCTAAGATAGTCTCCAACTCACTGTGGTAGCTTAGGATGACCTTGAACTTTTAATCCTCCTGCTTCTACCTCTTGTATTTTGGGATTATAGGCATATACTACTACCATGCCTGGTCTATTCCATGTTGGAGATTGAATCCAGGGTTTCATGAATGTTAGACAAGAATTCTACCAATTGAGCTTTATTCCAGCACCATAAATGTGATTTTTATTTTGGAGGGGGTTGTTTTAATTTTGTATTTATAGGTATTTTGCCTACATATATGTCTGTGTACTCTATATGTGATTGATTCCCTCAAAGGCCAGAAAAGGGTGTTGGGTCCCCTGGAACTGGATTTATAGGTGATTGTGAGCCTCCAACTGAGTAATGAGCATCAAACCTGGGTCCTCTGCAAGAGGAGAGGTACTCTTAATAGCTGAGCCATCTCTCTACACCCCCATAAATCTTTTATCTCATAAACATTGGATTTTATTGCACCAATTACTCAAATAGGAACATGAGTAGTATTCATAGCACCACCTTCAAAAATTAATTTTAAAAGTTAATATACTCCTAGAAGTATAAGCTGACTCTTTTTCTTTGTCCTTTTTAGGGCATCCAGTTTTACACTCAGCTAAAGACTATTACATCTCAGTGGAAAGAAGAGGATGCTACTCTTTCCTCACCTGCCGTAGTCATGCCTACCATGGGGCGTTAGAAGCAAGTTCTTCCAGACTCAGTCCAACCTGAGTAATTTCCCATCATTCTTGACTACCTTCACTTGCCATCTTTGCTCAGATCAGATCCATGGGATTGGAGTATGTTACAACTCTCAGAACTGTCAGTCCCTTCATAGTAATAGGGAGACTACAGGAAACACCATGCTGAGTCTGGACCTGCTCTGCATCCTTCTGTTCTGACTACAGGGAAACACTATGCTGGGTCTGGACTTGTTCTGCATCCTTCTATTCTGCGGGTAATTGTGAAGTGTTTACCTGGAGTCAGAGCTTAGACCTGTCTTCTAACAGCTCTCTTGATGACTTGGAGGGGAATGGCGGCATGGGGACAGATCTCCTAATTATTGGAAGGACTCTTGGGTAGGGACGGAGAGTAGAAACAGTTCACCCTCTGGTTGAGCCTCAAACACAGCCCTCCATGATTCCCACACTACGTAAGATTTAACCTATTTTTCTTATCCAAACATTTTAAGCACTGCTTCTTTTCTGCTCAGTGGCCCTTTCTTCTCATTTTGATTCATGACTACTACTTAATTCTATCGTTGTCCATGGTCTTTTCTACAATACTTCTCAAAGATACCTCAGGATATAAGTAATGCGCTAGCTTTTTGTTATATGTGCCATGTTTCATGGTTTGCTTCAGCGATCATTAATCAGTGCTCCAGCCATTAATTCAGATGCAAACAATCCTTAGAAAAATTATTTCAAAAGTTATTTGTGACCCAGAAATCAAAGAATGTGCCAATCATGAAAATGGGTAAGACTCTTGGCCTTAACCAAACCTATTATTATTTGCCAAAATTTATGTTATTCTTTCTTCTTTTTTTTTGTTTTGTTTTGTTTTTGTTTTTGTTTTTTCAAGACAGGGTTTCTCCATGTAGCTTTGGAGCCTTTCCTGGATCTCGTTCTGTAGACCAGGCTACCCTCGAACTCACAGAGATCTGCCTGGCTCTGCCTCCCAAGTGCTGGGATTAAAGGCATGCATCATCACCACCTGGCCTAGTTGAAACTTTTTAATGAAAGTTCTTTTCATATAGAATAACTGATTGGACTACAAGAAACTTAAAAGTTTCCATTCAACTGCCTTTAAACTGGCCTCTCTGATCATCTAAGCCTTAAGTCAGAAGAGATCGATGGGCTGAACAGAAGAGTCTGTCTGTCTGACCTGCCTGAAGCCCAGCTCTCTGAGCTGGAGGCTGCTGGCTCTGCTAGCCTCGTCGTCACGGCTTAGTGAGCTGAGGTATTGGTCACTTATTTCACTCTGTTCTGGACAGTCACGTGGACAGTGCTGCTCTAGTCTACCGAGTTATTTGGTGAGTTAAAATAAAGGTGGTGAAAAACCTTGAAAATTTCCACTCTGTCGGCACAAGAGTATTCGAGTATCCACCTCTGGTAGAATTCAGAGCCTTCAGTCACTTTAACAAAACACAACTCTGATTTTTTGTTTTCCATTCTAAAACCAAGTTGAAATTTGTAGTTTGTGATTATAATGCCTTTGTTTTCTTATAAAACACAGTTCATGCCCAATTCAATCCAACAATTTTGGGCTGGGTTAAAAAGTGGTTATTATCTAAATTCCAAGTAGAATTTAATCACAAAGACTCCTAATATTTTCCTTAGATATAAAGGAAGTTACTTTTAACAAATACCAACTAATCAGAATTGTGTTTCTCTAATTAGAATCAACTGACTTGGCCAGCTACTTGTACTCAAAAAGTTTCTTGTTTCTTAGATGAAATCTACAGTTATATTCACGTTAGTACCACTAAAATAGAGAATCAGCATTTCCTTTTTCTTCTTTTATGGCCTCATTTGAGTTTTGTCAGATTATGTACTGATTGTGAATAACCAAATACAAATAAAAAGCTCTTAAGAAAAAAAATACAGTTTTGAAAAAAACAGTCTTTTCCTTCCTGTGTTCTCTAGGTTCCAGTGATCTGTGCTCCTGACATATGCTCACATCCAAGAATTGCAAGGATATTATGTCTGTGCTTCTATAAAAAAGACAGGAGGACTGAGGGGTGGCTCCATGGGGAGGCATAAAGGTTCAGTCACCAGCACTGAAAACAGTAATAACGCAATACACATTTTGACTAAGCTGCCTATTTCAGAAAGGAATCTATAGGTTCTCCAGGTACACAGAATATGCCTTATTAGTATGGACATTGTTTAAAATTTTCTGTGCAGGCAGTGGTGGCATATGCCTTTAATCCCAGCCCTTGGAAGGCAGAGCCAGGCAGATGTCTGTGAGTTCAAGGCCAGCCTGGGCTACAGAATGAGTTCCAGGAAAGGCTCCAAAGCTACAGAGAAACCCTACCTCAAAAAAAAAATTTTTTTTTCTATGTTGTCATCCCTAAGAGCTGTTTAGGGCTAGGCGGTGGTGGCCTTTACTCCCAGCACTCTGGAGGCAGAGGCAGGCGGATCTCTGTGAGTTCGAGGCCAGCCTAGTCTACAGAGTGAGTTTCAGGAAAGGCACCAAAGCTACACGGAGAAACCCTGTTTCGGAAAAACCAAAAAAAAAAGAAAGAAAAGAAAAAAGAAAATTGAAAAAAAAGAGCTGTTTGGGTAGTAGAGAACTGTGAACTAGCAAGACATCACATAATGAAAGATAACAGTGGTACATTGTCTGACTAGATAACAGAGTCCTTACTATGTCAGAGTCCGGTAATTCTTTAGAAGTAACGCTGGGTGACATCACTTTATTGGAGTCTGATACTGGAGCTTGCTGGGTGATGAAGGTTTGATCTGGAAGGTTGATTTCTTCCCTATAATAATGACAAAACAGTGCTGTCAACAGGCATGCATGCCAATTCATTCTCACTTCACTTGGGATATTCACTCAGAATATCCACAAGGGAGATATATCCATCAGGCTTTGTTCAGAACTCTGGCAGGAGAAATCTTACCCGGTTTCTTTCACTTCTCCACTGTCAGGAATGATGTGGTCTGGAACAGGAGGCTTAGAACTCTGATTGTATTTCCTGCGGGCAGAAACATCAATAAACAAAAGAGCCAGTGTCTCCTTGTGCCTTCCTAGTTCAGTACCCTCAAAACGCTGAGTCAGACTTCAGTTGGATAAGGTTTCCATTTTCAGAATGAGTTATATACATATATAAATTTTGGTTTTGTTTTATTTTTTGTTTTTGGTTTTTCAAGACAAGGTTTCTCTGTGTAACAGCCCTAGCTGTCCTAGAACTCTCTTTGTAGACTAGGCTGGCCTCGAACTCATGGAGATCTGCCTGCCTCTGCCTCCCAAGTGCTGGAATTAAAGGTATGTGCTACCACCGCCTGGCTGAGATGTGATATATTATGTAATCGAATATAATTGCTTAAAGTTGAGACACGTTGAATTCAAGAAACATCGTTATGGAGACAACCATAATGAAGGTATTCGTGAACAGTGATTAATGACTAAAGGCAAGGCTGAATGAAAGAACTGATCAAAACACCTAGAAAAGTTCCTTTCCCCCAAATGAGCCTCATGGAACTAAGGATGGATCAGTGGGTAAGAGTACTTGCTGTAAAAGCAAGACCTGACTTCAAATCTAACATTTGGAGGAGGACACAGGTAGATCCTGGGAACTAAACAACAAAAAATAATTTATGTCAAGCAAACGGCTTTTGGTTGTTTTAAGATAGGGAGAGCTGGCCTCCAGTTCAACATGTACCTAAGGATGACCCTAAACTCCTGATCCTCCTTCTTCCACGTCTGGAGATAAGAGGAATTATATAAAGGGATGAAGGCCTAGATTAGGGAATCTGTCTTCATTGTGAAGGTCAAGAAAGTTCTGACAAAGGAAAAGCTTGAGGTAATATCCAAGGCTAACAGAACAGTTAGGGTAGAGAGCGTCTGCAGGGCACATAGACAGAGACACACACAGACTCTCAGGACACAAAACAGCCGTGGTGACAGGCCCAGTATACTTCAGAAGTGTAGGATAATAAACAGGAAGTAGAATGTAATTGATTCATTATTCTGAATGAGTGAGTTTATAGAGATAAAGTGCATGGAATAATCCTTCTGTACACTGTGAATATATATTACTCTAATTGGTTAATAACGAACTGACTGGCTGGTAGCCAGGCAGGAAGTATAGGCAGGACAGCAAAACTAAGAATGCTGGGAGGAAGAAGGGTGGAGTCAGTGGAGTTGCCAGAAGACAAAGAAGGAACAAGACATGCTGGAGGACACGGTAAAGCCATAAGCCACATAGCAATACACAGATTAATAGAAATGCGTTAATTTAAGTTGTAAGAACTAGTTAGTAATAAGCCTGAGCTATCAGCTAAGCATTTATAATTTATATTAAGTCTCTTGTGGTTATTCGGTAGCAACTGCTGGGTCACAGAAAAACTCCACCTACAATAAAGAATATCACATGTTGACTTCCCAAGAAAGTCACATACTCCATTCTTAAACTTGACTTAAGCAAGTGCAATGAAAACAGCATTAACCTATTCAAATGGTGGCAACATTAAATACTCTAATAGTTAAACATAAAAAAATTGTTAGTAAAGCCTCAGTGATTGCTTAGTCATTTATTTTAGCTGTTTACTGTTTATACTCCTCTGACTTAGGTCCATTACAAAATACTCTACTGTTGAATTCACAGTTATACATAGTCAACTGTGAACTATTACCAAGTTCCTGATTATTATTAGTCTTACTTGGGAGGTGGAGTCAGATCAGGAGTTCAAGACTAGCCTCGGTGACATCATGAGATAGAAGCAACCTGAACTATATATACATGAGACTCTGCTACAAAACAAACGAACATCAGCCTGAAAGAATTTGCTCATCTTTGGAAACCAATACAGGCTCAACAGTTGGGTTTCCCTGAAGGTGCGGCACAGTCAGCCCATCAGCAGCCCTTCGGAAGCGTCCCCTTACACGTCTAGGATGTATTTTCTCTCTCCCATTTCCCAGTCTCCTTTTATTCATTCATTTCCCAGTCTTTGTCTCTAAAAGCTGCAACAGTGGATCAAGTAGCTAAGGCCTTTCTGGTCTTAGCGTATCCCTGTAATTCTAAATACCACGTGGTCATTGTTCCTCATGTGGCTTCTGGGTTGACAGCCTGACGTTTCACAACAAGGGGAAGTTACCTGGCAGCGAAACCGTTCATTCTTGCAAAGAGCAGTCTTAGGACTTTCTCCTTCTGTTCCCAGGTCAAGTCTCCAATATCCACAGGTTTTTGAGTAGTTGGCCTGAAGAATTTTTTAAAAAGGTTAAAAAGAATCGCTTCTCGGCCTTTTGGCTAAGATCAAGTGTAAAAAGGTTAAAAAGAAAAGGTTAAAAAGTAAACTTATCTTCTTTAAAAAAATACAAAGTATGCAAATAGAAAATTTCTATAGCATAACCAGATACTGTGTATGATTTCAAAGCAAACTATGCACATTACAAAACAATAAAATTTGAAAAGGATTATCAGCATGCTAGCCAATCCAAATGTTCTGTCGTCGTTGTAAGATGAAATGAGAAACACAGCATGTACTGTGATCTGTTGGCAGCTTATAGGGGGCAGACTGCTAAAGCACAG